CTCTATTCTTCGCCCCCCCCCGCATCCCCCCTCTCCCCTTTCCAGAGCAGTTGGTTGTTTCACTCTCACACCAAAGCAGAGGCGACTACGAAAGTATCCGCCAGCCTTGGCCCTGGGAAGCGCTGGGAAAGAGAAGCCAGTCGCGGCCAGATACCATATCGGAGAGAACTCGTGCTCTAGACACCGATTTTAATTAAATTCGGGATTCCGATTGGGAAGGAAAGTGACAGGGCGTCTAAATTGCATCCGTGTTGATTCTCGCCTGACTAGCAGCGGCCTCTCCAAGTAAAAGGTACTGTTTCCGCTAATTCTCTGCAGGCGCTTTCCGATTGTCAAGCTGGCACCTGGACCTATTTATTTTACGTTGTTCTGGTTTCAGTAGCTACCGCATACAGTCCCATTCATAACTTAATCACTAGTTTATGGCTTTCCATCCTGAGAGAGAGTACTGTATGTAACGTTTGAGAAGCATTTTACCGGTATCTCCAGCTTGATTTCATGAAGTATTAACCTTATCCAATGGAAAATATGCATTAATAACTATACAACATATAGATAGTTGCTGCATCTTAAAACAAAGATCTTTTTGTTACGTTGTACCATTTTTGGAAACAGTTGAGAAATCGTTCAACTGAAATAACCTCAACACCGTCTTTTTAACCTTTTTAAACAAAAGGTTTGTTACTTAAAGTAACTAGAAGAGGTGAAGCGTGTATCTTCTTGTGTCAAATAAGACACACCTCTGAAAATGTGGATGTAGGAGCATTTGTAAAATGTAATCCTAAACAATCCCAATAGTTTTGCTAAAATCAGCTTTATTTGTTTAAGTATCAAGGGATCTGTTTAACTTACATAAATAAGAAATTTAACTTAAGAAATAAGTACTATTAAAATCAGTGGGACCTACATCTGAGTAAACATGCATTGAATTGGCCTTCTTTAAAAGGTAGTGGAAAAATATGGGCATGTCTACTCATAAGTAAGTCCCAATAAGTTGAACTCACTTTGAACTTAAGCATGCATAATATTTGTTTAAAAGGGCTTGTATTTTAAGCAAATGTATTCTCATTTGGATTTTTTTATTACACCAATGTTAATAGGAAAGTAATATAATCCAGATTTTAAAAACTCACCCTTATGTAGTATTTATTAAAATAAATTGTGACTGTATAGTAGTTTTTCCTGTCTGCCAGTCCTAAACGAGTTTACCCTGAAACCAATTTCCACTGATTTTTAATAGAGTTCTCTTTCACTAAACAGCACAATCCTATGCAAGGATTTCCTAATCTTGTTTGCTCAGAAGAATTCAAAGGAATTTACTTGCAGATAAGCATGTGTAGGATTGCAGAGAAAGGCATATACCTGCAGCGAGAAGTAAATTCTAGTTGAATTAATTTAATTAATTTTTCAATGAATGTGTTTGCCTGTTTTTGTTTTTTTTAATGATGTCTATGTGGGAGACATTTTTAAGGCAAGCCAAGCTGTTCAGGCCATTTGGATGAAAAATGTCAGATGACACTAGAATGATTCTCAGTTTGGGAAACACTAATTTGGAAGCAAGCACCATGGAAGGCACTTCAACTTACTCCCTAGTAAATATGCACGATGGACATGTACTTGGGAAGGGGGAGGGGAGAGACTGCCCTATCTCAAATGGAGGTAGACCTAATTGCTCTGATGCTACATAGTGCAACTATTTTAATAAAGGACAGCCATTTAAAAGATTTTCTTAAAAATTGGCAAGGAGTTCCCAGTTTTTCTAAAGCACTCTCTTCTCGCTTCTCTTCCTGAACTGGGGAGGTCGGGAGCGGGGGAATGCTGCATCATGTTTTATATAAATCAAAAACTCCGCTCAGATTTTCAGACTTTCCTTCTTGTCTTTTGGGAGAGAGTCCTAGAAGGAGGAAACCAGTTGACACCCCCCCCTTCCCAGTAGAATGGAAACTTCAATAGAAAAGTCAACCTGTCCAGGATTAGCACCGACCTGAAGAGGTTCTTCCCCCCACCTGCCCACCCCACTTCTCACCCAAGCGTGGCCCAACTCCCAACCTGAGGAGGAGGGTCTGTTCATGCTGTGGACAAGACAGAGACCAGCTACTGCTTCCAGGGGCAGCGGGCCCGCAATCTGCCTATTTCAGAGGGGAAACTGAAGCTGAGAGAAAGGAGGGGGAAGCTGCAGCTTATAGTTTCGGTTAAAGGGGCTGAGCTAACCCCCCTGTCACACACCTCCCATTAATTCCCTCCCCTGAACGCTGGGATCCCAGACCAAAGGGAGGAAGGTTTGGAGGGCGCTCGCTTACCAGGAAGAGGAAAAAAAACAGCACAAAGAAGGGCAAGAGGGGAGGCAGAAAAGCCACCCAAGGCCCAGACTCTGCCCTTCTGTTGCCCTCTGGCTCCTGCCAAGCCCCAAGACGGCAGAAGGGCCCAGGCAGACCCTGGGTCCTTGCAAGAAAAGAGGTGACACAGCCTCTACTGCTGAGCAACTCCCTCCAGGTCTTTTTCCACCCTGGATGATGAGCCCCATCATTCTCTGCTGGCTGGGGCAATGGGATTTGTAGTCCAGCATATCTGGAGGTCACCTGCTTGGGGAAGGTTGGCCTAAATTAATTATCCATTCACACCGGTGCATGTTACCCACTTAAAAAAAACAACACATATGTAATAACGCTAAACAGGTCGATTCTTTCTTCTTTTCCCCCGCGCTGAATTGTCGGGCGACACATTACTGTAAAGCCTACAAAGCTGGCGAAGATCGCCGCTGACAATTGAGCAAGCGGGTGGTTAAATAAGACGTAAACGAGTGTGAACAGCCTCCACCTCGGATTCTTTAAAATACAAAACTAAGATAGCTCGGGATATAAAGGGGCACCATCTGAAGGCATTTTTGACTCTGCACTGCGTGCGAGGGAGGGAGCGAGCTGAACAGACTCGGGTGAGTCGAGTCCTTGTAACTCCTGATTGGATTTTGGTGCCTCTTTCTTTTCCTATATAGTATCACATTTCCCACACTCTTTCCCCAACTCCGATAAGAGGTTCCAAATGTAGTAAGAACGCGGAGCCGGGAACAGCCGCATTCCTGCTGCAGGGCAATGGCCACAAGGCGACAGTGTTAGAGAGTAAAGCCGGGGAGGGGGGAGAGAGACAGAGAAGCCTCACCTGCTCCTGCGTGGGTTGGCGGAGGGTCTGCACATGACCCTCCTGCGGGCTTTGTTGAGACCCCCCCCCGCGCCCCTCTCCCGCCTTTTCGCGTGGGAGTTGACCAGTGCCGCGCTGGTTGCTTGCAAGCCGAGTCGCTGAAAGCCCGACCCGAGCTAGGTCGCCGGTGCCCCATCCCCGCCATCCGCGGGGATACCTCTTCGGCCAGCGCGGAGCAGGGCAGGCCGAGGCCAGCGTTTGCTTTGGCCAGCTGGAAGGACTCCGGCCCGTTTCCTTAGGCGCCGCAGAGCGCGCGCGAGCCGGGCGTCGCTTTTCTCTGGGTCGCCTATCTTGATCAACGACTTGCTGCTGAAGGAAGAAAAATAAGCACGCGCTGCAGGCGGGCGGCAGAGCAGAAGCGGCCAGGAAGCCTCCCCCTTGCAGCAGCGTTCACCCACGGCCAGCCTCAGCCGGCTACTTGGGAAGCCCTGAAAAGGTCTGAGCCTGGGTGACTGTGCCCGCGACGTCCAGAAGACTCGCTTCGTAGTGAGGCGACCCAGCTTCTGAGCCTTGACATCTCCCCCCGCCCCCCTCCCGCTTTCCAGATGCAAGGCCCGGCTGGTCTTCTAGGCCTTGACACCCGCTCCTTCCGAAGGAGGCCCTGGCTGGGCGTCAGGACAGCCACACCGCGGCTGCGCGTCTAGGCCTTGACTCCCGCTCTTTCCAAGGCAGGCCCTGGGTTCAGCATCCAGGATCGGGACCATGGTGTCAAGGCCTAGAAGCTGAGGCGGGCATAAACGCGAGGGAGAAAACAGACGGAAGGCACGGGACAATCGACCGTCTCCTTTCCAAGCTTACGCCAACCCAGACGCTCTCGGGCTCTCGTTTTTTCTCCCTTGTTCCGCCTCCTCCCCTTGCAACCGAAACGCCCGCTGGATTTGGCTCCGTGCACCTCTATTCGCCAGTCCTGTCGAGAGGACCGATCCCTGCAACAGTATTTTTTTCAGAACTCACACGCACTTACGAATGTATTGCAGAAGGATTTTATTTCAAGGACAGGGAACCCATCTTGCGACCGATCTGCTAGAATCGCATTGCATTTTTCTCTGAGTAAACCAGGGATGAGCTAAGGAATTATGCCCCGTACTGCCACGGATTCAGCACTGGGCACGTGGGTATCGACTTGCTGAATTTATGGTTCGCTGAACGCTGCTCCCAGATCGCGTGGCGGGAGGAAGCGTACAAAAACAAGAAAGCTGAATTCGAATCCACGGCACCGCCGGATACCCACTTTATGGAAAGTGCAATGCTGCGCCTCGGAGGCCGCTGCTTAGCGGCACTTCTCTCCTTTCTCGCTGGTTAATGAACCGAGCCTGTAACTAACGCGAGGAGACCGCACGTTCCCTTCTCCCGGGAGGGAGGGGGCACTTCCCAACTTCTTCCTAGGCCGTCGCACGCAGCTGAGGGCTGCCAGGGATTAACCTACGTAGAACTGCTCCGGAATAAGCTCTGGGGCCGCCAGCACAATCCTCCGAGCAAGTCAATCAGCGTATTCGGACGCTTGCAAGAGCTGTCGAGCGTCGCTTTGCCGCGCCGCTCCCTTAGGGACCGAACGAGCAAAGCCGGTTCGCCATCCCGTCCTTCCCCGCCCGCCTCCGCTCTCGCAGAAGACCCTCCCTGGAGTTTTGCTCGGAGTTTGCTGGGCCAGAATGCAGCAGCTCTTCGCTTCCTTAAGTGCGGGGTGGGGGGCAGCCGATTCAGGTTCCCCTTCATCTTAAAAAAAAAAAAAAAAATCCCGGCCCTTATGTGCCCGTGGAGTTATTTTATTTTCGTTTCACCCGCTTCTGAATAGGACAGGGAACGGTTAACCATAAACTTATCGCGCGGCGAGAGAAATCGGCGTTGGGCCGGCTCAGTGTCACGGCACCTGCGCTTCCTGGCGCGCCGGTGTTTGCTTGGATCTTCCTCTTGAGCGCCTCGGCCAAGCAGCGCGCGTCTTCGGTTCAGTGCCTCCGACTGATCCCCTCGCCGGGCGCGTAACTCTGCACCTTGTAGGTGCGGCTCCCCTGACAGTTCTGGTGGCCTGACCCACGCCCCAAGAAGCGCCGAGGTACCGCGCGCATTAGCCCCTCGCTGCTCCGCATGAGGAGAGGAGAGGAGAGGAGCTGGCCCCTTTTCAA